ATTTTTGTATTTGCATGTGGCCCGCGGGCCGTAGTTTGAGGACCCCTGACTCAGACTATAGTGTTGGGAAAGCCTAAAAGTAGAAATCAACCTCTCTGGCCTCTCTGATGGTTCTTCTCAGAGACGTCTGTGTTAGAAATTAAACAAGGCTTTTAATTGCAAGTGTCATTTTAGCATAATATGATTGGTTAACAGCAGCAATGTGCCACGCCTCTAAGTGTAACTGGGTAAATTACCTCAATTTCCTGTAACTGCTCCTGATTGGTTGTGTACATCTGCTGAAGAGAATCCTCCAGCTCTGTGTTCCGATCCAGTAATGTCTTCCCAAGCTCAGCAGCAAGCTGGAGATCTAGTACGACAAGTGAATAATGCAAATGATCTCACTTCATTTTATATAACCCAGTCCATAAAATAAAAATGAACCAAGATCCAACCCAACATAGCAAATTTAAATCTGATCCCGGTAGAAGGTGGAATGGCCCAGAAGGAAAACTGAGTCCTACTTAAGATCCAGTTGAACTGGTGCCCTCTACTTGTAACATGCTCTTATGTAATCCTACTTTTAAGACGTGAAGAAGACTGATCTACTCACTAGTAGATATACTCATTAGTCTAGAAGTGATCAATCAGCATTGTGACTTCTAAAATCGTTATTATTTGCTAACGGACTGGATTTATTCATATCCTAAATACCTACTGTTTTAGACAGAGCCTCAACCAAAATATAGGCAGATATTTAAATAGTCTCCATCCTGGCTGGCCTGCTCAGTGGTTAGAGCATGGGCCTGCGCACCGGAGGTCTCAGGTTCAATTCCTGGTCAAGGGCATGTACCTGGGTTACAGGTTCAATATCCGTCCCCAGTCGGGGTGTGTGCAGTAGGCAACCAATCGATGTCTCTCTCTCACATAGATGTTCCTCTCTCCTTTCCTCCCTCCCTTCCTCTCTTTCTAAAAACCAATGGAAAAAATATACTCATTCCTCAGGTGAGGGTTTAAACACAAACAAACAAACAGTTACTAAAGTTCCTATGAAATCTGGCTGCTGTAAATGTGCACTATATTACTGCCACCGTCAAAGCAGTCTGTTGTTACAGATCCTGGGACTAAAAATTAAGTAAAAAAGAAAAGAAAAGAAAAGGGAAAATACATCAGTAATATGTATTTCTTCTACTTCTCTTCATGTCCTTCTCCAAGATGAGCAAACCAAACAAGCAGCACAGCGATTGTGAGGTAATTACATGTCAGTAGCTGTTACAGTACTTTGATTTAGCACAGAACCATATTTCTATTTTGAACCTCATTTTTCGACTCTCTTCTTAGGTATATATGCACAATCTCAGAAATAAAAATTAAATGATACCCAAAGGACACTTGTTCTAACATAGGTAACTGAAGTAACTATCTGCATAAACTTCATAGACAGACCCTCTAATATAGTGGGAAATTAACTCAACTGAGTAGGAAGGTCTGACATCCAGTGCTGACTATCATTTCCCAGATAAATACATTTAAGATGGGGCTTTAAAGGTACCTTCACTTAATCTTCTTGTCTAAAGACAATATGATTGTGAAATAAAATGAAATAATACAGAAGGAAGTACTTTACGAACTAAGTGCAATACAAAAGCAAACTAGTACCAGTAGTACTAGTATTGACTCACAAATGACTGTTTATCGCTGGGCATCACACTAAGCTGTAGTTATGGAATGGTTAATACAATGAAGTTCCTGCTTTTCTAGATTAACGGATGAAGTAAGATAACAAGTAGATAAACCTGCAAACTGTGATAAACACTCTTCATTCATATATGCATGCATACATTCAATAATACCAGTGAGGAACAGAGTGAGGAAGTAACATGGAGTTACTACAGTCAAGCTACTATATTACTGCAATCAGGCCAAAGCTTGAGAAACAATACTGTTTTTGTTTTAATTAGCCTGGGAACTTAAACTTTCAAACTTTCCAGTCCTGTCAATGCTTGGATATACATCAAACCTCCACGTAAAGATGTGATTACCCCTGAAGGATTAAGGAAACAATGTTCACTTATCCAGACCATTGGTCATCCAATCCAGAGGCTAAGAATTTATTTTTTACTCTACCAGTAAGAACTCTTCGTTTTTCCTTTGTCTTCGGAGCATTCTGGTTATTGCCTTGTGTTTCTGGTTTGCAAACACTAAGACATTTGAATAAATA